CAGACGTGCATCCAGGCTAAACATGAATCCAGACATTAGCGAGTCCATTGCAGATGCACACTCAGCAACCCCTCAACCTGGTTCCGACGAAGGCGCAGTCTCCACCACAGCCAGTCCATCTACTAGGCCGGCGGAAGAGAAAACGGACAATCGTTGCGGCGTAAACAAGATTGCCAGGCTTGAACGACAGCTACGGTCAATGAAGGTAGGAATGGCGGCCACCAGCGTCTCAACGCCGGCCCCCGCTGTAGATGGAGTACTTTCCCTCACCCTTCTCTCCCCCCCCCGTCAGCCACAGTCCCTGTGTGCATACGGCTGTTGACAACCAAAGCTGATTTATCACCCCCTCATTCGGCGAAAAGACACTATAGGACTTCTTTCCCTCCCCTTTCTTCCTTCCGCCCTGACTCCATATGTAAAAAACCGACTTGACATGACTGTCACCCACGCATAAATACTGTGAGGTGCGATACTACACTCACCTCCGACTATAGAAACGTGTTTGCATTTGAACCGTCAGGACAGTAAGACTGTGGTTTTTGAGATCGCCTTTTCTTCTCATTTATGTCCGGGGACGCGCATATTCGCTTCTATTTAAAATATATATATTGTATCGATATATATATATATATATATATTGATATGCAGTACCTGTGCTAACTCATGAAATGTCACGAATTAACACAGGTTAACGGCGTTAACGCAGAATCGGTAAACACTGCAGCTCCCAAAGTCTGATTGCGGAAAATAAACGATGTGTCAAAGAAATAAAGCAAAGTTTGGCTATGAAAATATTATTTACTGAGATAAAAATAAATAATTTTCGACAAAAGTCACATTTTCGAGAAACGCCTATGTTACAACCAAGTTAATAAAGGCAACGTATGAGGACGTATAAAGGAGGAGGGCACATAAAAGATAAAAAATAATTAAGGACAGAAACAGATACAAAATATTAGTACTTTGTTGATTGTCCATTTGAATTCATAACGGCAGAAAG